GAACCCGTTGCTATGCGCCTATTTTTTAAAATATTGCTTCGAACAAAAAAATAGTTATATCAATAAGAAGCTTGTGGCCAATTTATATAATGTAACTAAGAGTATTTTTCATGTAGCTCGTCACGTTTGTATTTTATTCAATGGATATGATTCGGAGGTAGTGGAGGGGGTAGTTGCTTCGTGTATAGATACACGGCAGCGATCGGCCTGATGTTTTGTACAATCGGAGTCAAAACTTTTCTTGGCCGATACGCTGCCGCGTATCTCGATGAGTGTGAAGCTACTGGTTGACTTAGAAGTATAGCCTCGCGTCAACCTTTCGAGAGGAGATTAGAAAAGATTCGATAGTGATGCTTCTGTACTTGCTATCATTTTGAAAAATTGAAAATGATCATTTATTTTTTTTTTTCCATCCTTAACGAATTGAATGCGACGAAAACATTCTATATTTTGTTAGATACAATAATAACGATTAATGTCTCAGCCAATGAGAATGGGCTTATCAGATTGAACGTACGGTTTTGATTTTGCCTGTATAAATATCTTGGTGAAAATGATAGTTAGTTTGACCCTTCTTTATTTTTAGATATTTTAAGGGCACGCAGCTAAATACTATGTGAGGATTATTCAGTATGATAATTGAATAATTTCAATTGCATTATCGATTGAACATTGATATGGAATTGTATAACTAATTTTCAAGTTAACATGTTAATCATTCTGGCTGTGATTGGAATGATTGTGTATGTTGAAAGTTTGTTTTGTTTGTTTGTTTGTTTGTTTGTTTTGTTTGTTTTCTTTTTTATCAATGATGATTTTTCTGTACAATGATTTCAGTATCAGCTCCTCAAGTTCAACTTGAGAAGGGGTTCGATTTTGATTTCACATTTCAGTTTTTGTCTCGGAGGGGAGTGTTAATTGATTTTTTGAGTTGAAAATTTTATTTTTGATTTTGTTTTTCATCCCCTCTTCAAGATTGTCTTTAACATATCTCATAATAGAACTCCACACTTGCCGTGTGGAATTACAAATTGCAAGCGTTGTTATGATTGAGAAGATTTCATGAAAAAGGAATAATAAAGGTGAGACCGATAAGAATTCTCTCAAAGGCGACTGTTTTTGAGAATATCAAGTTGTTAATTATAAGAAAACAGAAAGGTTCCTTTTGTAGTTACCGGCTGGAGATCAATCATGAAATCGCGGGCAATATTTCTGGAAAATAATTCTTGGTCTAGCCATTGAAAATTTCACTGTAGACATTGTTTTTTGCGTTGTTAAAAAATTCATTCTACTCAATTCAACCTCTAAGGCGGAATTTTCTGGATCCAAGTTGAAATTGGATAAATTTGTGGATCACGTGATTGGAATTTAGATTGATAGGCTCTAGTATTTTTTCATATAGCTTTCTGAATTATGTGATTCGTTTATTGTTACGGTTATTTTTCTTTTAGCGACTCAACTGGAATGTGTTTATACGACTTCAATTTTGGTTTTGATTTGTTGAATTGAAATAGTAGAAGGGTGAGATAATAATGCGAGAGTGTCGCCGAAGATTTTGAAAGTTTTGTTAATGGAGTACACAGACACTGAGTATATACATGTGAAAATCAGGATGGAATTATTTGCCTCCATGTTGAACAAATTACATGTAAATTGGAACAATGAAAAGGCATTGATCAAGTTCAAGTTCAGACAAATTCATTTTTTTTTGTCTTTTTTTTATTCTTTTTTTTCGTTTTTCTTTCAATTGGCTTGGATTTACCAGTCTGGTCACTGGTCATCGTGAGAGGTCATCCCGATGAGACCAGTAGTCCAGAGGTGTTTCATATAATTTCAACTGACAGCATTGGCTTGCAGATTCCGGTCTGGTCACTGATCGTCAAGAGAAGTTTATCTGATAACTCCAGTGTTCCAGAGATATTTTTATGTAGTTTCAATTGACAACTGTTCCATGAACAAGATGCCGATAGGAGGATTGTTTCTCTATCACAGATATTTTACACATTGGATTTTTTATCAGAGATGGACTTGCATGAATTTTGTTTCAAACCATGCTTTTCAATGCGATAGGAAGTATGACCCAAATAAGCTATTATTTTGAATAGGTGCAATCGAGCAAGTAAGACAGTATTTATTATTTTATTCAGCAATCATCGCTCTGAATATGTTATTTGATACATTTGCTCCTTTTTCTTGTCTCTATTTGTTTTTGCTCAATTTTTATAGGTTTGTTGAATTGATTCGTGTATGTTTGCTCAATTGAAAGTTAAAGAATATTCTTTGCTCAATGAGATCAATTTCTGAAGTTATTTTTAATTTTTTTATTTTTCCATACTCTCTTTTAGATCGTTAATTATAATTGAACACAAGAATGCTCGAATTTAATGAAATTAATCCATTCGTGCTAATCTATTATGTTCCTCAAATTCTACTCTTCAAGTACAATATAAAAATGGAGGATAGAGACAGTTGTTCTTCTGTAGAAAAAGGCTAAAGAGAATTTCTATTGCTGCAGATATATTTAAACGCCTGGAAATATTTTGGTAGTCTGTCGGTCAGGTCAACGGTACGTTGGGCCGCCTATTGAGGTCTGCGAAGGACAAAAAAAAAGGAGAGAGTACGAAAGGCTTCTCTGGGTGAATTTTATGACTTTCATATGTTTAGGCAAAGCGTCTCAGCATTGACTTTTGAGACAGAATTTTTTTGGTACACAAGAGGGATTGGGGACAAATTTTCTGGTTTTATGACTTCTACGTGCGGAAACTGAAGTTATAGGATTTGAAACTGTATCCTCTGTTGATTGGGGAAAACGGAAGGATTCCGGAAAAAACTAACGATTTTCAACGATCATCTCAATCATTATTTTTCATATATGATCGAATGCAATGGATTGAAATACATTCTTTTCTTTGTTTTGACCCAACTTGAGCCTTTATGTTACGGTTTTCGGTCATATATAATTCTGTGTTTGTGGATGTGATTGAATATTTATTTATCTTGAATAAAAACTACTATACAGATAAATTATTTGCTGAATAGGGGAAATGTTCGTGATCTATCTTGTGGTTATGAGTTAATGCCAATGAATCTGTTACATGAAATTCGAATGTAAGAGATAATTCTTATTTAATAGTATGATTTTACGGTAATTGCGTAAAAAATGTATGAATTTTTCAATTTTTTTTAGAGTTTCTCATTTTTTTATCAACAATTTGTGGATGTTTCGGATTCAATTTCATATAATTTATTAGTCTCCAGGATCATATGGAGGTTTTTTGTTTGATTGCTTATAATTCACTCAGTTTTGGTTTAGTTTTACCATTTTTGAATTTATGTGTGAATGTCATTTGACAGTCAGATTTTGATACCTTTCCTCTGCATTGATCATCATTAAATGAAGGGTTTTGTTATTTTGGGAAGATGGACGGCACGTTTTCTGCACGATTCTATGACATGGAGCATCCTTCATAATATAATAGTCTGTACGTTACAGTTTCCGAAGGGCATTTTGACCTTCCGTTTGGAGTTCTATTTGTTGAATCTTCATTTTCGTGTTTAATATCACTACACTTGTGTTTATATTGTCACTTTGTTTATACTTTATATCCGGCTCGAACGACCAATTTCTGTATCGACGAAACGATACTTCTGAGCTAACAATTAAGATCACTCAGATGAATTCAAGACTAATATTTTATTCATTTTTTTTTATTTATAGGCTAAAATTGAATTGTAGATTTTTTTTTTGTTTTTTAGATTGAATTATTGAAGTAACTTTGTAGTATTTACAGTTTAATGGATTTTCTTTTGTTTTGCTAATAATTTCTGACTGTTATGTGTAATTTAAATGTACAATCTCAGTGATCGCTTGATTTTAGAAGAACAATTATTTCGTTGTTTTCTGAGTTATTCCATCGATGAAATTATGTTTGAATGACTGGTTGAATTCATAAAAAAAATTCAATGTTTGCTTGAGTTAATTTTCGATTAGAAAATGATTTAAAATTCACTTGAGTATTTCACAGGGATATTTTCAGTATGACTGGGCGAATGTTTGTGTGTTTCGGTTGACAACTGGTCAAGTACTGACTGTTCTCCCTTCCGCGTGCTGCTGTGACGCGTCCCTTAGGATAGGTTTCAGGTATAAATCCCATTGCAGGGGCGTTTTCAAATATTAAATACAATCTTACATAGGGTGGACAAGTCAGCGACAGTTTTTCTGTTCAACTCAAGCCCGAGAAATACTCAAATGTTACAATTGGTGAAATATTCATGAATTAACTCATAATTCATGAGCTCATTATAAATTAGCCCCATTCAAATAACATTCTCAAATTGTGGATGAAATTCTTCTTGAATGACAATTAATTTTCCATGGGGTACGGAACATATGCAAACCTGTTATGAGCAACTGAAATATCAGTTTTGAAAAACAGAGATTTTAGTAATCTGGGGCTCATAACGTGATCTCGATGAACGTAGATTTTCCATGATTGATGCCTGTGGAATTTAGAAAATCAACCCTCTGACGAGGAAGTCCTTCCAATCCCTGACGGTATGAGCGGGAGTGGGGTTACCAATTACCGTGCTTTAGCTTTGTGTGTGGTAGTGAACCTTTATCGTCGGAGAGTTGAATTATGTTATACTGAAGAAGTTGATCTGAAATGTTCTTTATGAAAGTCATTACCAATTCTTACTTCTTTCAATCATTCTAATCCATTTACGATTGAAGATTAGGTAGGGAGGAAGTAGAGCGCCCTCCGAACAATTAACAATTTTATTCGCATAGAACTATTAATTTTGAAAAATGAACAACAAAAATGATAAAATAAATGCGCGGAAACCATATAGACGAAAAACGAAAAATCTGCAAACTACTACGGATAGTTGCCGTGAGGGAGGGGGGGAACAGTCAAAGTGAACGACGCGCTCTCGGCCCACTGAACTCACTTGTTAATCCGCTACGATAAGTGTCATGTTGCTATTCCAATTTGCACGTATCTGTGAGAGTGAGAGTGAAATATCACAATATCTCAGAAATAAATACATACTAAAAAGTGAATTTTTATGTGATAAATGCGGGATAATGATGAGTTCAGACAACTCCAAAGGATTATACGCGTGTAGAAACAAATTTAAAGTTATAAGACCTCATAAAAAAACATTAATACAACAATGCGATAATTCGGTGAGCCAAAGAGACGGTACGATTTTTGCGGATTCTAGACTCCCACTAGGCAAATTGTGTCTGTTGTTTGCAATATATTTTTCTATTGACAAAGTTAAACGTAAATTCATAAAATCACATTTATAAATTTCTTTAAAATCTATTAATAAATATATCAAGGTCATTGAAATGGTAGTCGCTCGCTGGGCGAAAGCTAGGGGAAATGCTACATTGGGGGGAAGGGGAAATATCGTGGAATGTGACGAGACGAAAATTGCCACACGTAAATACAATAGAGGCAGATATATCAAAGGAGTATGGGTGTTTGGGGGCATCGAGAGAAACACAAAGAAGGCGTTTATTGTACCTGTTGCCAGGCGTGATTTCTACACCCTGAAGAAGAATATAGTCAAACATATTCGAACAACAACTTTGGTTATGACCGACTGTTGGCGAGGGTACTCTGGACGTAATAACTACAGATACCACCATCAAACCGTCAACCACAGGAAAGAATTCCCAAACAAAAAAACAGGAGCAACAAATTGAAAGAGTATGGAGAGACCTTAAAGACGCCATCTCCAGGTATGGAATTACCAGTCAAAATATCCATAGAAAGATCTCCAAATTTTTGTTTTGTCGCACATTCAAAGACGAAGTTCGAATTGAAGCTTTGTTCCACATTATCTCGATGTTTTCTCCTTAATCGTTTCGAGGTTTTCTGATTTATCAGTCGCTCCTGGGGTGTAGGATTCAAGGTTGAGGTTGTTCGGGAAGATAACGAATCAACTACGCAAGGCAACAGTTTGCAAAACTAGAGATGTAGTGTATTGTCGTGAATGCGGTATGTACAGATGATGAGTCGGTAGTATGAATATNTGTAGGATTCAAGGTTGAGGTTGTTCGGGAAGATAACGAATCAACTACGCAAGGCAACAGTTTGCAAAACTAGAGATGTAGTGTATTGTCGTGAATGCGGTATGTACAGATGATGAGTCGGTAGTATGAATATATACAGGATGAGGTGGAGAGATGTCCACCATGTGGCATGAGTCAGACGACTAATTTCTGCTAGCGCGGGAGCGATTGCGACACCTGAGACGTGCGTGTGTTCCTCAGGTGTGTGTGTATGAGAGCGGTGCGATACGCGTCTCAGTGCGGATGTAGCGCGGCGCTACAGGGGGGGGGGCTCGACGGGGTGTCTCTGTGGATGTTAGTGCTTGAAGAGTTCTCCGGGATAAATAGTGGTCGGTTTGAGGAATTGAGAAAAAGAAAAAATTATGGAATATGTTCAACATATCCATAAATGACACTAAACAACCTTAATGGAATTTATAGTGAAAAATATCTAATAGGACATTCGCATAAATTTTAGAGATTCAAATTTATAATTATTAAAATGATTATAGGAGGATGATCGGACGTCTCAATTCTATAGAATTGTCGATTGTCGTTAGGAATGGGGGGGGGGTGTAGCGTTCTTCTCGTGGGAGTCGCCGCGCCACCACGTCCCCGACGTGAATCCTGGGTAACGCTGAGAGTGGTGCATTCGCGGGGGTGCCGTTTTGGGCCCTTCTGGGGGGTTTATGGTGAATTTGAAAAAATCGAAATTTTAACTCCCTAATGGGTACCCCTCGGGTCTGAACCTATGCGAGTAACGTAATAATATGAAACTTATCAAATAAACATATAATAATCAAAATAAAGGGGGTATTACCCATTTAAAATAAAGGGTCCTATACTACCCACCTACCGAAGATTAAATATTAATTTTTTCAAGGGATACTTTTTTGTTCTTCCAAAGAGACATGGTATTCCAATTCAGTCAGTTCGTTGTCATAGAACCCAACATCTATATATCTCATTATGCATTTCTTCAGAAGTATTACTTCTGTTATGTATATAAGATGTACAAAAATTCGGCCGTGCCGTGACTCTTCATTTTACGTATAATATATGCGTAAATGAGGATTTATTTGATGGGATGACGATACTTCGACAATTATCTGAGGAGATAAATCATCTGCAATGATCCATTTCTCTCCTTTTACAATGCATGCTGTATAATGTCCAAAGATATTTTCGTTAATGATTTCTGGGTCATGAAAATTTACAGTTCTGGCTACAATGAATACATCATTGTTCACGTTCAATGTTTTCGTGAAGTCACGTATTGGAACTCGAAACTTATGATCCGCTGGACAATTGATAAAAAGATGGTTATGAAAGTGTATACACTTTTCGTGATACATTGTGTACATCCAATATTAAGTCTATTGAAAATTTTATGTATGTTCGTATCTAATATTTTTTGAAAATGTTGGCAATAAAGATGACCATAATGATATATTTTTTCAAAAATGGGTTCTATTATAATCTCATCAATTCCTCTATCACCACATAATGAACACTCCACTGTCATTGAATAACTTGGATTTTGATTAAAAATTATGGGACATAATTCTGCTACTGTCATTATTGCATTCAAAATTACCAGATCAGACCAGAATCTCAATTCTTTTTGGAAAAATTGCTTAGTTCAAAAAATATTCAATCTCAACTGCTGAACGTATTGTTCATCAACTTCATCATTTACGACAATGTATTTAATCAAATTGAATTCTTGGGTATTTGAACGAAGGATATCATTGGAGAAATCTTCTATACTGCACGCTATAATTAATATTTGAATGATACTGTCAAATGCACATGTATTCTGCAGACAAAATAATTGAAAATCAGACACAATTAGTAAAAAAGGAACTCATTCAATTTCAGGGTTCCATGACTATTTAACAAAAAACCAATTCAACACACAAATTAACCACGCAGCAACTCTACATAAGCCAAACTCAACACCCGGCATTTCAACACGAAACAAACTCAACACATAGGTAATTCAACACCAAACAAGTTACTCACAGCATAAATTCAACAAAACATTCGCTCGAAAAATAGTTCCTAACTTTATTTGCTTGTTAAAAAAAAATAGTTCGTACAGAAATCATTACAGAATACGCATCGCAAAAACAAAACTTCACCAACAATTCAATTCCATTACTCATATTAATCACAATTTTATATTGTGGGCAATCCCCCTCAGATAATCCACAACATCACAGTCATCAGTGTAGCCAGACACAACCTTCTTCAACCTAGCATCGTAGTCTCGGTACTTCTTCCTCTTCTTTTGAGCAGCTTCCATCCCAGCATTCTCCTGCTCCAAAATCCCATCCGTCACCACTTGCTCTGCATTCAGAGCATTGATAAATTTCCCAACAGTTGCATGGGCAGTTTTAATTCTCGAGTTGAATGCGTTGTGCCAACCTTCAACACAGTTATTCGTGCGAGGAGTGTCATGCAACACAGCATCATGACACATCCAATATTCGATGGCAAATTTCGCAGACAAACGACGACCTCTACTTTGCGCCTTCCCAATCTATGTCTCGGCATAGTATTTAACAATTGGTTTCAAGTACCCTTTATTGTCCTGAAAGTAGTCTGATGCGAGTAGAGTATCAAACGCCTTATAAACATCAACAACAGGCACAAAAGCAAGTGCTATTAGCATCCTCACGTGTAAATTGAAGTCAACATCATTCCCATAATCTTTTACGAAACCCAAATCCCTCACATGGCGATACACACATTGACCGAAGTGGAAAAAACATCCGTGAATCTCCGACCCCGGGAAAACTGACTCCACCGCGTTGAGGAAACCGAGCTCGAAATCCGAGGTAACTCGAACAGCTTGCATCCCCTCTCGTGAGTTCTTGATGGTTTTAAGGATTCGTTTATAAGTCATATTGGCGGATGTATGTGTGTGTGTGTATGTATGTACGTAAACAAAATGTTGCACAACGATCTCTCTCGAACAAACGATCCGATTCAATGTTTTTTTTTGTAATCAATGCATCTTCATGGAACTTAGAACGGATTAGATTCTGATGAACATCGCCTCAACGGTTCTTTAGATATTGCAGTAAAACTAGTAAATCAACGTCGAAAAATGCAATTTTTTTACAAATTTGGCGATTTCTCTCAAAGTAACGATGGGATCGATTTCTCTCCATTATAATCGATGGAGCTCTGTGTACCTAAGACTGGTTCAATTTACTAATTTTACGCGGTTCTGCATGACGTCTAACAAATACCATTTAATTTTTTTATTGAATAAGCGTTGTAACGAGATTTTCTCGTTACGGGTTGAAATCCCCTTAAAAAGATACGTGAACTCTAAAATTGAAACATGAGGCGNCCACCTGACTATTGAGCGATAGAGACGGCTAAAAAGTAGTTTGGATTTTTCCTGGGTGAACAACCCGGGAAAATATCCTTACAACGTTCATTGCGTTTTTTTATGTACCATTATAATCTTCAACAATTTCCAAAAACAATTTTTTAGACGTTATGCAGAGATGAGTGAAAATAGTAAATGAAAAAATCACAATGGATGGGATTTGCATCAACGTTGTGTAATCGATGCGTCNGGCGACATCTAGAGGCGGCAGAAGGAAGCCGCGATGAACTGAGCGACAAACCGATGAAAGCCCTAAGGCATGGCGGTTATGGGTGAAACCGCGACCCCTGGAGGTCTGGAGGACGTTACTAGACTATCGCTATTTTGGAATTCGCCCAGCATGTGCTAGGGGAAAAGGGGCCGACGTACAGGCTGTCCAACTGGGCGATTCCATAGGCTATGTCAGAGTAGACTAGGGACCAACGGCCAGGTGAGAGGACTGGTGCCCCCGGGATCCCGTCGGGTTGATTGGTGGGGATAGGGTAACGGGATGCTCCTGCATCCCCCACAAACGGAAAGAAGAATTATTTCGGAACTCTTAGTGACGACTTTGTTGTTTCCGGCCTTATCCGGCTCGGCGAAACAAATGTCGTGCGCATGGGCCCGTGGGTCTGGAGTAGAGATCGTCCTCCTGTCGACCCGACCATGTGCCGACATTCGAGTACCCGGAGACGGTGACGTGCGATGACCGAAGCGGTAACTGGTGGCCGAGAGTGTGGGTGGTCGTGAAGTGGGTAACAGGGTTCCACTTTGGTCGGATCAGCCTCTCGGCGTCCCAGGCTCTGAGGAGTCCCGGCTGATTCGCATCTAATTCTGAAGACACTCCCGAGTCGAAATACTCGGGCGGCGAAAGCCTACTGAGAGAGTGAAAAATCCGCCAGGACGAGAGTAAATTCACTTTACATGGGTGATTAGGCCGTGAGGCTTAATGTCCTGAAACAGTGGCTGGTGACGTTTGGCATAAGATACCCCTGGTGGACCTCGCCCACTCTACCGTGTCACACTGATGCTAGCTGGGCAACCCTTTGCCCGGCCACAGAAGTCCTCTGAGTGGACGAGTTTGCCTCAGAGGCCGGTTTTCGTCGAACCTCCCGTGAAGGTTCGGCTGGCGCCTGACTATTGAGCGATAGAGACGGCTAAAAAGTAGTTTGGATTTTTCCTGGGTGAACAACCCGGGAAAATATCCTTACAACGTTCATTGCGTTTTTTTATGTACCATTATAATCTTCAACAATTTCCAAAAACAATTTTTTAGACGTTATGCAGAGATGAGTGAAAATAG